GACCTAACAGATATCTACAGAACATTTCACTCAAACACAAAAGAATTTACCTTCTTCTCAGCACCTCACAGAATCTTCTTCAAAATTGACATAGTTGATGACAAAGCAAGTCTCAAAAGATTAAAAAAAAATTAAAGAACCCCTCATATCTTATCAAACTACCATGGATTAAAGCTGGAAATCAACATCAATAGAAATAAGAGAAAGCCTACAAACTCATGGAAACTGAACAACTCTCTACTCAATGACCACTGGGACAAGAAAGAAATTAAAGAGTCTCTACAATTCAGTGAAAATGAATGTACAACATACCCAAACTTATTAGACACAATGAAAACAGTTCTAAGAGAAAAGTTCATAACACTAAGTGTCTTCATATAAAAATTGGAGAGATTTCAAACTATCAATTTAAAAACACACCTGACTGCTTTAGAACAAAAAGATACAAACACACCCAGGAGGAGTAGATGACAGGAAATAATCAAATTCAGGACTGAAATCAATAAATTATAAATAAAGAGAACAATACAAAGAATCAACAAAACCAAGAACTGGTTCATTGAGAAAAATAAAAAAGATATATAAGCCCTTAGCCAAACTAACTACAATGTAGAGACAGTATCCAAATTAGCAAAATCAGAACTGAAAAGGGAGACATTACAAGAGACACTGAAGAAATCCAAAGAATTAATTGGTCTTACTTAAATACCTGTACTCCACAAAATTGGAAGTTCTGAGTAAAAAAAGTTCTGAGTAAAATTTTCTTGATAGATACTACTTACCAACATTAAATCAATATCAATTAAAATAGACCCATAACCCCTAAGAAAATAGAAGTATTCATTAAAATTCTCCTAACCAAACCAAACCAACAAAACCAAAACCTAACATCAATATAACAAACTGTCCCACAAAATAGAAACAAAAGGAACATTGCCAAATTCATTCTATGAGGCTACAGTTACCCTGATACCTAAAACCACACAAAGACTCAACAAAAAGAAAATTTTAGACCAATTTCTCTTATGTACACTGATGCAAAAATACTAGCAAATAAAATCAAAGAACACATCAAAAACATCACCCACCATAATCAAGCAGGCTTCATCCCAGGGAAGCGGGGATGGTTCAACATATGAAAATCCATCAATATAATCCATCATATAAACAAACTTAAAGAAAAAACCCCATATGATCATCTTATTAGATACTGAAAAACCCTTTGACAAAATCCAAAACCCCATCATGGTAAAAGTCTTGGAAAAATCCTGGATACAAGGCACATACCTAAACACAATAAAGGCAATATACAGGAAGCCTATAGCCAAAAATTAAATTAAATGGAGAGAAACTTAAAAAGTTCTACTAAAACCAGGGAAAACACAAGGCTACACACACTCTCTAGGGAAAACACAAGGCTACACACACTCTCTGTATCTATTCAATATACTATTTGAAGTTCTAGCTAGAGCAATAAGACAACTACAGTAGATCAAGAGGATAAAAATTGGAAAGGAAGGAGTCAAAATATCATTATTCACAGATGATATGATAGTATACATAAGTGACCACCAAAATTATACCAGAGAACTCCTATCGCAGAAAACAACTTCAGCAAAGTGTCTGGATAAAAAAAAAAATTAACTAAAACAAAACTAAACTAAACAACAACAACACGAACAAAAAAATAGTAGCCCTCATTTATACAAGTGATTAACAGGCTAATAAAGAAATTAGGGAAATAACACTCTTCACAATAGCCACAAATAATATATCGTGTTATAATTCTAACCAAACAAGTGAAAGACCTGTATGACAAGAACTTCAAGTCTCTTAAGAAAGAATTTCAAGAACCTATCTGAAGATGGAAAGAGCTCTCATGCTCCTGGATCAGTAGGATCAACACAGTAAAAATGGCCACATTATTAAAAGTAATCTACAGATTCAACGAAGTTCCATTAAAAACTCCAACACAATTCTTTACAGACCTTGAAAGAACAATACTCAATTTCATATAGAAAAACAAAACAAAACAAACAAACAAACAAACAAAAAACCCATGATAGCTAAAACAATCTTGTATATTAAAAGAACTTCTGGAAGTATTTCCATCCCTGAATAAAAACCGCATGGTATTGGCAAAACAAAACAAAACGAAAACAAAACAAAAAAAAAAAAACAAAACAAACAAACAAACAAAAACAGACAGGTTGATCCATGGAATTGAATAGAAGACCCAGAAATAAACCCACACACCTATGGTCACTTGATTTTTGACAAAGAAACCAAAACCATACAGTGAAAAAAAAGAAAGCATCTTCAACAAATGGTGCTGGTTTAACTGGATGTCAGAATTTAAAAGAATGCAAATAGATCCATAATTACCACCCTGCACAAAACTCAAGTCCAAGTGGATCAAAGACCTCAACATAAAACTGGATACACTAAATCTAAAAGAAGAGAAAGTGGGGAAAAGCTTTGAACGCATTGGCACAGGCGATAATCTCCTGAAGAGCACACCAATAGCTCAGGTACTAAGATCAACAATTAATAAATGAGACTTCATGAAACTGAAAAGCATGTGTAAGGCAAAGGATACCATCAATAGGCCAAAATGGCAGCCAACAGAATGGGAAAATATCTTCACAACCTTACATCTGACAGAGGGCTAATATACAAAATATATAAAGAACCTAAGAAATTAGACACCAACTAAAAAACCCAATTCAAAAAAATGGGGGAGAGCTAAACAGAAAATTCTCAACAGAGGACTCTCGAATGATCAAGAAGCCCTTAAAGAAATGGTCAACGTCCTTAGTCATCAGGAAAATGCAAACCAGAACGACTCTGAGATTCCATCTCACATCTGTCACCATGGCAAAGATCAAAAAGTTAAGTGAAAGCACAGCCTGGCAAGAACGTGGAGAAAGTGCACAACTGTATAAGCATTTTGGAAGTCAATTTAGTGCTTTCTTAGAAAATTGGGAAAAGCTCTATCTCAAGACCCAGCTATACCACTCCTGGGCCTATAACCAAAAGATACTCCACCATACTACAAGGATATTTACTTAACTATGTTCATTGCAGCTTTAGTCTTAATAGCCAGAATCTGGAAACAACCTAGATGTCCCTCAACTGAAGAATGGATAAAGAAAACATGGTACATTTACATAATTGAATACTATTCAGCAATTAAAAATAAGGAAATCATGAAATTTGCTGACAAATGGATGAAACTAGAAAAGATCACCCGAGGTAATGCAGACTCACAAAGACATACATGATATGTACTCACTCACAAGTGGATATTAGCCATAAAATTCAGGATAACCTTGGTTGGAGTATCAGTCTCAGGAAAGACCCCTGTGCTCAGATTTTTTGGTTCTGTTGCTCTCCTTGTGGAGTTCCTGTCCTCTCCAGATCTTACTGTTTCCCACTTCTTTCATAAGGTTCCCTACACTCTGCCCAAAGGTTGGCCATAAGTCTCAGCATCTGCTTTGACAGTCTGCAGGGCGGAGCCTTTCAGAGGTCTTCTGTGTCAGGCTCCTGAGTTGTTCCCTCTTTTCTCCTTCTTCTGATGTTCATCCTCTTTGACTTTCTGGATAGGAATTGAACATTTTAGCAAGAGTCCTCCCTCTTGATTAGTTTCTTTAGGTGTACAGATTTTAGTAGGTTTATCCTATATTATATATCTATATGAGTGAGTATATACCGTGTGCGTCTTTCTGCTTCTGGGATAGCTCACTCAGGATGATCTTTTCCAGATCCCACCATTTACCTGCAAATTTCATGATTTCCTTGTTTTTTTATTGCTGAGTAACCTAAGACCCCTGCACAGATGTAGGCCATGGCAGTTCAGGGTTCAAGGGGGTTCCATGGTAATAGGAACAGGGACTGTCTCTGACATGAACTGATTGGCCTGCTCTTTCATTACCTCCCTCCCCCTGATGGGGGAGCAGCCTTACCAGGCCACGGAAGAAGACAATGCAGCCACTCCTAATGAGACCCAATTGACTAGGATCAGAAGGAAGCAAAAGAAGACCTCCTCCATCAGTGGACTTGGGGAGAGGCATGCTTGAAAAGGGGGGAGGAAGGGAGGGATTGGGACGGGAGGAGGGAGTGAACCATAGGGGGGATACAAAGTGAATAAAGTGTAATTAATAAAGAATTTAAAAAATAAAAATATAAATAAATAAATAAGCAAATAGATAAATAAATAAATAAATAAATAGAATAATTCAGGATAACCATGTTACAGTCCACAGAGCCAAAGAAGCCAACTAACAAAGAGGTCCCAAGGGAGGATGCTTAAATCTCACTCAGAAAAGGGAAATAGAAAAGGCATAGGAGGTCGATGGAAGGAGGGAACTGGGTAGGAGAAGGGTTGGGGGGAGAACAGGAGGGCTCTAGTTCAGGGAGGACTGAGGGAGAGATCTGGGAAACAACTGAAGTCAGTGGTGGAGAGCGGCTCTGGGATAAGCCAGAAACCTAGGACAAGGGAAATCCTCAGAAATCTATGAGGGCAACCCTAGCGACGACTCTTAGCAACAGGGGATATGGAACCTGAACAACGTGTCTAGTCCTACCTCAACTAGATATACCGAGACAGGCTGATATCCGTGAGAAGCCTCCCCTTCTCTGAGGAGAAAGAGAGAGATGAAAGGGGGAGGAGAGGAGAGGTAAGAGGGAGGGACTGGGAGGAGAGGGGGAAGGGGGCACTGTGATGGGATTGCAAAGGAAATAACTTAATGAAATGAGAAAACAAAAGAAAGGAAGAAATAAATATAAAATAAAATCTTATTTAGAAACAACTCCATTGGAACAATAAAGAATAAAGTAAACGATTCATGTCATAAGTCAATTGTTTTGTGCTTAGTCTACACTTTACCTGAGCATTATCATTGTATAATTACAGTCATGTTATGATTATGGTCACATGTTACCTAGACAGACTCAGAATTTCAAAAGGAAAATGAATAACAGCCCTGTATTATACTCACTTTTTGCAAAATTTTCCATACTTTTTGATAAAATCCGATTGGAACTCTATTTAGTGCTCCATCCAGTCTTCTCCGGCGTTGCCACTGACCTTGACGGCTATCTTTAGATGTCTGTTGACCACACACGGTCGGAAAGGATCCAGTACTTGCAGCAATACAGGCTGCAGGGGACTTGAGAAAAGAAAAGAATGTAAATCAAAAGTGATCTCTGCCCCTGTGGTCAGGTATCATAACACTGCTTATTTTAACTTCAAAATGTAAAAATTATAAACAATGTATCGCACATTGAGTAGCAAATACCCTATAGAAAGGGAAAGCACATATTAATGGAAAGTGAAGAAAACAGTGGCATGGCGGTAAAGCTAGTCAAACTCTGTGCAGCTTGAAATGCGGTAACTTTGTATAATCATTTAAACATTACCTCCTATTTGTTGAGATTATAGTATAATTCATTTCTCCATTTCCTCTCTCCTAACTCTCCCATATATCACTTCTTGCTTTTTTTTTTCAAATTCATGCCCTCTTTTCCATTAATTTTCTTCTATACATATATACATATGTATAAATATACATCTTTTTATTTTGGTTTTTCGAGACAGGGTAGCCTTGCCTGTCCTGCACTTGCTTTGTAGACAAGGCTGACCTTGAACTCATAGAGATCCTTCTGCCTCTGCCTCCCTGAGTGCTGGATAATGTTAATTGTATGTGCATTTTCAAGGCTGACCATTTGATAGCGGATAAGTAACTGACGTGCTATTCCTTGGGGAACTTACTTTATAAGGCACTCTAGTGATTCAGAATAACACCCATAAAATGCCAACCACACAGGACATTCCAAACTGTCCGCTTATGTGGCTTTATCTGTTTAACTTCTAGCCATTCTATGCTTTTTGTTAGTCACTCTCATGACTCTGAACACTTTTCTATTACTGTGGTAGAATACCATGAGTGTGTCAACTTCTAATAAAAAGCATTTCATTGGGCTTATGGAAGCAGGAAACAGAGTCCACACTGAAAATGGCATGAGTCTGTTGGTGGTTGGTGTAATGCTATGTATACAAATGCTAAGCACTGGCCCTCAAGATCTGGTTGCAATTCAGACAGGTCCATTCTCACTTACCAGTCTTTGTGATGTAAACTTTGCTCCCCAATTATCTCTGATTGGTTAATGTAGTTGCTGACAGCCAATTACAGGGCAGACTAGAGGTAGGCAGAACATACATTCCCTGGCTTTGGGTCTAAGGTAGAGACCTTGAAGCCATGAGAAGAGGGGAAGAAGAATGAACATGGAGAGAAAGAACATGGCCTGATAGAGCAGATCCAGCCCAGACAGGATGGACATACTGGCAAGTAATTTGGGGCGTGTAGCTGGGAGGTAGTCAGACTAGCTTAGAAAATTAAATTGTATCTGTCCAGTTACTGTGCTTAAGGCTGTTTAAAGAAATCGATGTGTTTATTTTTTTGTCTCAATTATTTGGGAGCTAGCTGGGTCATAGACAAGCCCCCAATAAATAAATAAATATTCAACAGCATGAGTCTTTTGAAACCTCAGAGCTGCATCCTTAATGACACACCTCCTTCGACAAGGTCACATCTCCTAATCCTTCCCAAACAATTTCATTAACTGGGAACCAAGTATTCAAAAATATGAGTCTATCTCATTCAAAATATTACAGCCTTGATAAATTAAAGGGACTTGCCCAAGCACAGATGGATCATCATTGGTTAATTTCACAAAAGATTTAAAGATTAATTAACACTATTTCTTCATAAACTCTTCCAAAAACAGAAAAGAGGGAACATTTCCTGTTGTATGAGATCCCATTCTATGAGCTCTCCAGCAAACCAAAGCCAGAAAAAGATATTACAAGAAAATTGAAGTAAAATGCTTTTTACGAATATGCAAAATTCTTCAACAAAATTAATTCACTGGATTACATACTATGATTAAGTGCAATTTACCCTAGCTATTCAAGGTTTTCAAAATACTTAAATACAAGCCTGGCAGTGGTGGCATATGCTTCAATCCCAGCATTCTGGAGGCAGAGGCAGACAATTCTCTGGGTTCAGGGCTAGCCTGGTCTACAGAGCGAGTTTCAGGACATCTAGGATTACACAGGAAAAAAAAAACCTGTCTCAAAAAACCGAGAACAAATAAACAGAATGGAAAATAAGCCTAGGTATAAAGGCTGGAGTTATGGCTTAGTCCTTAGGAGTGTGTACTTCTCTTCCTGAGGAGTGGAGTACAATTCCCAGCACCCATTTCAGGTGGCTCATAATCACCTTCAATTTCAGCCACAGGGGATCTGATGCCTCTGGCCTCCAAGAGCACTGTACTCATGTGAATATATGGATAATTTAAAAAAAAATAAAAATACTTTAAAATTATTTAAAATATATAAACATCAACTAGTATAATATGTTACATCTACAGAAGAAAGGCTAAAAACCTTTAACAAAATTCAATATGATTTCATGATTAATAAAAATACTCAGTAAGTTAGGAACAAAATGGATAGAATTCCCTCAATTAAGAAAAGTTGTCTTTTTTCCCTGTAAAGATGCTTAGGGAACAAAGAATGGCAGTTTCCACCCTTACAATCAGAACATGATAAGGATCCTCAATTTCACTTCTATTTAACATTATACTGGAGATTTTAGTCAGGATACTATAAACAAAGATAAAAATAGCTGTGTGTAGTGGTGAATGCCTTTAATTCCAGCATTCTGGAGGCAGAAGGAGAGAAATCTCTGTGAGTTTAAAGCCAGGTTGGTCTACATAATGAGTTCCAGGACAGCCACAGCTACATAGTGAGATCCTGTATTGGAAAAACCAACAAAACAAAAACAAGAAACAAAAAAGTAAAGAAATAGCTGTGTGTGGTGGTGCACATCTGTAACCCCAGCACTCAGGGAGGCAGAGGAAGGTGGACCTTTGTGAGTTTGAGGGAGGCCAGCCTGGTCCTCAAAGCAAATTCCAGGACAGCCAAGGCCACACAGAGAAACCCTGTCTCGAAAAAACAAAAAACAAAAAAACCACTTCCCCCCCAAAAGAAAAGAAATCAAAGCATCTAGATTGAGAAAGGGAAGTTATAGGAATCTTGAAAGCCTTTGATAGTGTACCACTTCAACTATTAAATGAGTTCAGTAAATGTAGTTAGAAAAGAATCTTCCTAAATTGTGAGCTTCATTAGGCCATTTCCATTTTTTTTCAATGTTGTTTCTTCCATGCATGACATTAAGTCTGCATTTAGATCACATTTATTAACTGAATTACTTCTCAGAGGACCAGCTACAACAAAGTAGCCTTTAAATTTAAAAGGACATCAGAATTCCCTGAAGAGTTTATTAGAACAGATTGCTGGGGCTTAGCTCAGTCTTTGTGATTTCAGTATCGCTAGGATATAGATCAAAATTTGGCTTTTCAAAACAATTCCTTGTGTCCATGCTGTCTAGTCCACTGTCTGATGCACAGTGATGCACACTTGCAATAGTTCAAAGAATAAATGTTTACATAACAAATACTCATGAAATTGATTTTTTTCTGAAATAAAAGAGATTGAAGTTTAACTCCCTTTCCTATCTTATTAGAAAAGAAACACACCTTTCCCTTTTGTATGAACTTGCTTTATAGTCATGTTAGTTCTGGATCAATTTGTCTTTATTTAGTTAGCTTTTTAGTTTTAGGTTTATTTTATGTGCATAAATGGATACCACAGGAGTACCTAAAAGTTATCGATAGTTGTGATGGGTATAGAATGCAGACCCCAATTTGTGTGTGTGTGTGTGTGTGTGTATTTGTATATAGTCAAATATTATGATCATATAACATTATATCAAAACACTTGAGAATGAAATATGAGACAACGCAAGATGAATTACCAGAAAGGACGGTGACATCAAATCTATACCTGAGGGATGACCACCATTACTCTATAAAAGAAATTGAGAAAATAAAATTTTGAAAGAGATGAGATAAGACAACCATTATGTGTGTTAAAAAGCTATTAGTACTATTAAAGTACAGACCATTTAAGTAATTAGCAAGCATGTTATCATTAAAAGGCAATGACATAAGTTTACTCTAATGTCACGGCAAAGGATAAAATAAATTAAAAACTACCCTGAAATATCTTTGCCTAGTAATTAGAGTACTGGTTAGTAGCAGAGAACAATATAAAATACCATACAGGTACGTAAGGATGAAAAACAATGTTATAAAATAAGAAAGTAATAACAATCTAGGCTACTTCTCCTCTAAATTATAGCCCTACCCTTTTGGGTTCCTTGGAAGACTTAAAGGTACTGAATATTTAGGAGAAAAACCTCAAGTAGCTGGAAAGGTCAAGTTTAACCATCTTATTCCTCTAGCTGGCAACATAGACTCTGAGTTCCAATCATATAAAGAACTTGTAAGTAATGCATGATGTCTAAAGATACTATAATGTAAGCTGGGTGTGATGGTACATGCCTTCAATCCCAGCACTCAGGAGGCAGAGGCCAGCCTAGTCTACAGAGTGAATTCCAGGACAGCCAAGGCTACACAAAGAGATCTTGTTGCAACAAAACAAAACAAATCAAAAAACTATAATGCAGTTAGCCTGTCACTCTCAACTAAAACAAACATTGTACACCAACCACATTAATGAAGTTGTTCTTTCCAGTTTCAAATAGAACAAATGTTCAGATAATTAACATGTAACAACTGTGCCCCGCATGTGTGCAGTATACATGGAGGCCAGAAAAGGGTAACAGATCCCCTGGGACTGGAAATCCAACCCAGTTCTCTGGATGAGCAGCCAGTGCTCTTAACCATTGGGCCAGATCCATCTTCTTCCAATCTTCCTCTTGCATAAAATATGAACACCAAAGTACATTTAAGGAAAGTACTCAATCAAATTGCCTTCAAAATCTGCTTTCAAGAACTGACTTATTCTCCTAAATGGTTTCAGAGTCCCCCATTTTAATTTTATTTTTTTCTTCACAATTTATTCATTATATATCCCAAATGAAGCACCCTCCTTCAAATCTTCCCAGTCTCACCCTCCTCCCCCCTCATCCCCTTTCCCTAGTCTATTGAAAGGGAGAGTTCTCCTTAGCCATCTGCCCATAGCTTGTCAGGTCTCATCAGGACTGCCTGGATCCTCTTCCTCTGTGGCCTGGCAAGGCTGCATCATCAGGGGTGAGTGATCAAAGAACAGTCAACTGAGTTCATGATAGAGGCAGCCCCTGATCCCCTTACTTGGGAACCCACATGGAGACTGAACTGCCCATTGACCACATCTGAGCAGGAGGTCTAGGTCCTCTCCATGCTTGGTCTTTGGTTGATGCATCAGTCTCTGCAGGATCCCCTGGGCTCAGAATTTTTAGCTCTGTTGGCTTCCTTGTGGGGCTCAGAGCTTCTTTGTAAAGAAACAAAACCTCCATTTTGCCTCTTCTCTCCATGATGCTTTAATGCTGTAAGCTTATAATTGTACATTGAAAGTGGGAGGGGTTTTAAGCCTTTCTTACAAAGAGCTAGTAATAACTCTAGAAATTATCTCTGTAAGTATAGTCTTTAGGTCATAGACCCTAAGTGAGAACTTGCTACTATTGTTCTTCTAAATGGTCACAGTATCGGACTGCCCCTTAAGTACTTATCTTCATACTAAGATTAGTGCAAGAAGCATCTTCCTGCGGTAGATGGTAGCTAATTTCAAAAGCCACGACTGGCCAACATGCAGAGACTAAGACACTGTGAAGTGCTCAGCCCTAGCATCACACCTCATCAAGTCTCAGGGATCACTGCAGCAGAGAGAGTGGAAAAATATAAAGAGGACCACTCTGGAAAGTGTCTTCCAGAAACGGCATGGTTGTTGCACACATGAGCTCATATCGTGCCCAAGACCAAGTCAGCCAAAATCTAAACATGGATAGGGAGGAGCTATTGGGAGCTGATGGCTGCTGTGGGAGGGAGAGTCAGTTCTGGTCAGAGATGAGGCCCCTAACAGGCTTCTCATGCTTTTGTAGAGAGCACTACACCCAAACACATGCAGGTATCACTAAGTGAAGTCCATGGGTTTGACAAAAAGAGTACGTGAGGTTGTGGGAGAAGTGGAAAGGAGGACTGGACAATGTGGGGAAATAATTGAGGACTAACTTTGATCAAAATGTATTATATGGATATGTGAAATTCTCAAACAATAACAAAGAAGTGCATTTAGAAGGGATGGAATAAGCACCCTCTCGATTTAGAGATCGTAAAACCAAATGATTCCCCACCGTTTTAAAAAGATATTAAGCACTCTGTGTAATAATACAATAAGTCATTCATTGTTACCTGTAGTAGAAAGAGGCTCTAATTTATTGTTTAGTGACTCCTGTTGTCTTAGCCCTATTTATGTGCCCCTCCTCTTCCTATACGCAGTAGCATTCACACATCTCTCTCATAGCAATAATGAAGTCTAATTTCGAGGAAAAAAAATCTAATAAAACATTCTGTCATTTATTTTTGTGGTGCATGTGCATGTGAACCCCCCCCAAAAAGGATTAAAAAAAAAAAACAAAACCTTCACCTAATCTGCTGTTCTCTCTTGCACCTATTCTTTCTTTTAATTTTCGTAAGACTAATACATTTTTTTAATAATTTTTATTTTTTAATATTAATCACGGGTTATTTACTTCTTTTTTAAAAATTTTTTATTAATTACACTTTATTCATTTTGTATCCCCTCATAAGCCCCTCCCTCCTCTCCTCCCGGTCCCATCCTCCCTCCCCTTTCTGCATGCATGCCCCTCCCCAAGTCCACTGATAGGGGAGGTCCCCTTCTCCTTCCTTCTGATCTTAGTCTATCAGATCACATCAGGAGTGGCTGCATTGTCATCTTCTGTGGCCTGGTAAGGCCGCTCCCCCTTCAGGGAGAGGTGATCAAAGAGCAGGCCAATCAGATTATGTCAGAGGCAGTCCCTCTTCCCATTACTATGTAACCCACTTGGACACTGAACTGCCATGGGCTAAAGTTCATGTGCGTGCATGTTTGGCCTGCACGTACTTACATCCACCATGTGTGTGCCTGCTGCTCATGGAGCCCAAAGAGGACATCCGACACCCTGGGACTACAGTTAAGGATAGACGTGAGCAACCACGTATGTGCTGAGAGCTGAACCTGCGTCCTCCAGAAAGGCAGCGAGTACTCTTAACCGCCTGATCCAGCCCCCATCATTTTTTGAGATTTATGTATTTTTCTTTTATGTGTATGGGTGTTTTGCCTGCATGTATATCTGTGTACATATGCATGCAGTACCCACAGAGGCCAGAAGATAGTATCACGTCTCCTGGAACTGGGGTTACAAACTGTTGTGAGCCGCCATGTGGGTGCTGGGAAAGAAAACCAGGTTGTCTGCAAGAGCAGCCAGTGCTCTTGAATGCCGAGCCTTCTCTCCAGTTAACTATTCTTAAAAGCAGTCTATGTACTTTTATAAAGAAAATCCATTATAAACTGCACATTAGTTGTAATAAGGGAACTCAGGACATCAGTTTCTTGTTATCTGTCCCAGCTACCTTCCTCCTAAAATTAAGTCATTTGATACAGAAAAGGGGACGCTATCTACAAACAGTTGTTGTGAGGGAGATGCCATGTTTTGTTTTTTTTTAACTATTTGTGGAAATCTCCTGAGATCATGCATGCCATATGGAATTAAAAGCTGGTTAAAATATGTTTTAAGAAGTCTCTGTTGTTTCACCTGACTCTCAGCTGAGATAGACAGTCTGCGAAATTCCATCTGAAAAACAAACAGTTCAAGTTACATTCAGAACATGAAACAAAATAAATTAGTGCAACAACGGCTGATTCTAAAATGTTTTAAGGCCAGTTAATGCTAATAAATATCTCTTGTTTCACCTGACTCTCAGTTGAGATGGATAGTCTACGAAACTCCACCTGAAAAAAAAAAAAGGTTCAAATTATACTCAGGATACAAAAATAAACAAATTATGCTAACAAAGTCTGATTCCAAAAGGATGTTTTGGGTTTGATTTTGGTTTTGAACAGCATTTCCAGTATTCTAGACTGGCCTCCATCTTGCTTTGTATTTGAGGCTGGTAATGTTATCAGTCTCTCGATCCTCCAATTTCTAACCCCTGTGTGTGGGGTTACAGGCATGCACTTCATGTCCAGCTAGGAATGTTTATTAATTATGACTACCTCAGTAGTTTTTCAGATTATATCTTACCTGCTTTATCTCACTTTTTAACTGCATTATTCCAGTTCGTTCTGTTTTTGTTGCTCCAACAGCACCAATCTCATGGATGGAAATAGCAGGACTCACATTTGAATTAGTGGGACGAACTATATAGAATGAGATTTCAAAGAAAAAAGAATAATCAGACTCATTTTCTCTACCATTTTAAAAAGACTTAAATGTGCATCCTTCTTTTGTTTTAAACTTAATTTTAAAAAAAAACTAGTATAACCTTGCTGTTTTAAGTGTGATCCTTGGACCATTAGCATCAGTAACACAGAAGACATTAGCAACAGAGTCTCAGGTCCCATATCAGGCCTACTAACTCAGAATCCACATTTTAGAAATATCTCCAGCCTGAGGGGTACTACTTTCTAACTTTGAAAGAGGATGATGATGATGATTTTGAGACAGGGTTTCTCTGTGTAACAGCCCTGGCTGGCATGCAACTCACTATGTAAACCAGGTTGGTCTTGAACTCACAGAGATCCGTCTGTCTCTGCCCTATGTGCCTGAAACCAGGGTAGAATACAGTTCAATACTTCCTGCTAAGAATAAAACAATACATGAAAAAAATGCATGTTCTGTGAATTAAAGATAAATGCATGTTCTATTAGAGTTAAGACCACAACATCCTGCTATGTTCCTTTCTCCTAGAACACTGGGGAACTGGAAAGTCCCCAAGCCTATATCCTAGCCAATCAGCTTAAAATGCTTTGTCTAGCTATGTAGATGCAATATACTTGGAACAAAATCCATTATGTTTAGCTAGTCAAATGATGTAATGCTGACCCTCCCCCCACCCTGGATTCCTAAACCTAGTTACCTGGCTGTTGCCTGGTTACGGTTTTTCCTATTAAAAACCTTTCTGCGAAACAGACCAGTGACACAGTCTGGCTTCTCAGCCCAGATTATGTCCCTGACCAGTCAGGTTTTCTTCAATATCCGTTAAACTTCCATCCATCTGAGTCTGGTGTTCAAGTGCTCAGTGTGCAGCTTTTCCTGAACCCTTCACAGTCTACGTAGGTACTGGGAACCGAACTTGGATCCTCTGGATGAGCAGAAAGTGCCTTTAATCACTGCACTGTCTCTCCAGCTCCCGTTCTCTTCTGTTGGGGAGTGGAGGAGTCTTAAGTGAATGAAATCCTGAGTCAGTATAGGTGCTGCTGATATAGGCATGGCCGTGTCTAGGACACCAATGCCTCAGCCCCATGGAAGTGAGTGGCAAAGCCTTCCCCAGGTGAGGTTCAGAGGGTTATTAGCAACGCCTTCCTTGAGTGTAAACATTGATGTGTTTGCAGAAAGTATCTACCTTAGTTTCCTTTTCCCGGATGTTTACAGCCTTAAGACTTTATGGAGATTAGCTAAACCTGCCTCGCAGTTCAGTTGTATGCCATAGCCCTGCCTCCCAGTTCAATAATTGTATACAACAAACACAATGAGCTTTGGGGATGTTGCCGTTTCTTCGTTAGAACCCAATCCACTGATTTCAGCTGTTGTGTGTGTCTGTACATGTTTGTCTTTTCTTCATTCCCTCACCACACCAGTCAGATCTGTCCCTGGAAGCCAAGACTTAAATCATACAAAACAAAATAAAACAAAACATGCTAAAGTCTGGCCATCCCTCCACTTAAAAAAAATAACTCAAGATTAATAATTGAACATAGGAGATAATCCTTTTTTTCCCCACTTCTTTTTGTTTTTGTTTTGTTCTGTTTCTTCAGGTATACAGCATAAATAGTATTGCAAAAACCCAAAGTACACACACACTGATCGATACATGCTGTATGCATGTACTAAAATGCTTGTAAATCTCAGTGATATGTAAAATGAATGCCTATTAATACAAACGTAGACATGCGTATGAAGATCAGCTTGTGACAAAGTCTGAAGGCATTATAATTTAAGGTTGAAAGGGTATAGTAGATTTGTTGCAACTACAAACACACATATACACCCTTACCATTATCAGTTCTACTAAATTTCTGCCAATTTGAACACAGCAAAGACTCAGACTGTGAGTTTTTAGTTGTCTTCCTTACTTAGGAAAATGAAAGGTAATTTACTACATAGTAAAAAAGAAACATGAGGGGCAGCAAGATGGCACAGCAGGTGTAAGCACTTGCTTCCAAGTTTGACGACCTGAGTTCAATTCCTGCGCCACATATGGTGGAAGGAGAGAACCAACTCCTGCAATTTGTCCTCTGGCCTCCACACACGTGCTGTGCTACCCCTTCCTTGATACACATAAACATATAATAAATAAGCTTAAGTAAACATTTTAATAAAATAAAACAGGAAAACATTTTAATAAAATAGGAAAAAGATGATATATAGGTGTGTTTATGCTTCCAAATCCTTTTTAAAAGGTGTCTGTGGAGTATGTGAGAGAAGGAGAGAGGGAAGGAGAGAGAGAGATGTGTCTGCAAGTAAGCAAACATGTCTACCATGCTGTACTTCTGGAGGTCAGAGAACAACCTTGAGTGTAGGTCCTTGACATCTATCTTGTTTGAGACAGGGTCTCTCTTGCTCAATGCTGCATGTGCCAGGCTAGCTGGGACACAAGCTTCTTGAGATTCTCCTGACTCTGCCTCCTATCTCCACAGGCAGTGTGCTGATCAGCTAGTTTTGTTGTCTTTTTTTTTTTTGTCAATTTAACACAAACCGAGAGTCATCTGAGAAGAGGAAACTTCAACTGAGATGGTGCCTCCAACAGACTGCCCTGTAGGCAAGTCTAACACTGCACTTTTGTGGTTAATGATTGTCGTCGGACAATTGCGGTAAGGTAGTCATAGGTTGGATAAAGAACAAACTGAGTGAGCCATGAAGAGCAAACCAGTAAGCAGCATTCCTTCATGGCTTCTATATCCGTTCCTGCCCTGCTTGATCGAGTTCCGGCCTTGGCTTCCCTCAGTGATGGACTTATAAGCCAAATAAACCCATTCTTCCCCTAGGACATGGGGTGAGCTGGGATTGCAGACAGAAGCTACTGAGTTCAGCTTCCACGTGGTTGATCCAAATTCAGGTCATCAAGTGTGTGCAGCAAACACTTATCTCATTGAGCCATCTCCCTAGTCCAGGACCTTTTGTTAAGTTGAATTTTTCTTTTAGTTTTCAAATCTTATTCAAAGGATAGCTTTACTTTAAATGTTTTGTTTATTGGATTTTTATTTATTTGGGGCTAAGAGCTCCTCCAATAAAAGAAAAACACTTTAAAACCAAGGATTAAAATTAAAATACCCTGAAGTATAAGTTCAGTGCATGGGTCTTACCACTTCGTTCCACTCCAAACTCTTTGCCACTGAGAATGTGATGCAGGAGGTTCTTCATGGCTGAAGGACTGAGATTCATCAGGTCCTCTGTGGCTTCTTCAGCTGGTGAACAGAAAGGCAGGCAGAAAGAATTAGAGTTTGTTGCCCATGTCCTCCTGATTTTCCATTTTCTCCTTAAAATGGGCTCTCACCACGTAGTCTAGGCTAGTTTTAAACCGATCATCTCTCTGTCGCAGCCTGTTAAGTAACAAAAATTGCAGGATCATGTGACCACACTTGGTGTGCTTATGAGGATAAAACCATATCCTCTCCTCTAACAAGGTGATTAGACCCTTTATTTCCTTTCATAAGATTTCTAAGTCACTTACTTTAGAAGATGTAAGTTACAGAGCCAATTTCAAACACCATATAATTGGCTATTCATATAGCACTTTGCTTTTAATTATTTAAGAACTGACTACCTAATTTTAGATTCGCTGGCCCACTAGTTTCTTCTTCATTCTATTTCCACAATGTTGGGTAACTCCCTATAGTCTTTATTTGAAGGTGTGAAGAATGAAGGATAACAACAGAAGTGGAAGGCATTCAGAGAACTGCACTGATGTACATGCACACATAAACTCTAAAGTTCTCAGTACATGTGGTTAAAAAATAACAGAGGCGAATCTATGAATTTATTAAGAATACCGAGAATAACTTCAATTTGTTTAACACTAGTCACTTATTAAGATTGCTGCATATAGGTCATCATTTTAAGCAATGTTAGTACAAGCAGGCATGACTCATAGCACCTGACTTTGAGCGGTTGACCATTAATTTTGGAGAGAAAGAACATGTAAATAAGAGAAATAACAATAAAACAACAAAATATTATGTACAACACAGGTTAAGTGAGTAATATAACCAGCAATTGATTGGAAATCAGAGGAGACAACAATCTCAAAGAATAGATACTGATAAAAATATTTTGAAGGAAGCACTACTGAGTTACTAGCTACAGGCCAGACCCAGGAATCTTGGCTTTAATCCTATAAAAATGGAGATCCATGGTTTTGATGACAGGAAGAAGCTATTACAAGCAAGAAAGAGTAGAGAATGATTTAGAGGACTCATAGCCAAACTTTGAGCAGAGTGCAGGGAATCTTATGAAAGAAGGGGGAGATAGAAAGAGATGGAGGGGACAGGAGCTCCACAAGGAGAGCAACAGAACCAAAAAATCTGGGCACAGGGGTCTTTTCTGAGACTGATACTCCAACCAAGGACCATTCATGGAGATAACCTAGAACCCCTGCACAGATGTAGCCCATGGCAGCTCATTGTCCAAGTGGGTACCCTAGTAAGGGGAACAGGACCTTTCTCTGACATGAACTCAGTGGCTGGCTCTTTAGTCAGAAGAGAGCAGCCTCATCAGGCCACAGAGGAAGACAACGTAGACAGTCTTGATGAGGTCTGATAGGCTAGGGTCAGAGGGAAGGGGAGGAAGACCTCCCCTATCAGTGGCCTGGGGAAGGGGCGTGGGAGGAGAAGAGGGAGGAAAGGTGGGATTGGGAAGGGACAAGGAAGGGAGCTACAGCTGGGATACAGAGTGAATAAGTTGCAATTAATAAAAAAATTAGCTAAAAAAGAATGACTCAGAGTTTTATCATTACTGGGATTTATTACTGAATAACCATACTGTGCTAGTTAGTTTTTTTTTTTTTTTTTTTTGTCAACCTGACATGAGCTAGAGTCATCTGGGAAAAGGGAACCTCACTTGAGGGAGTGGTTCTGTTAGACTGCCTCTGGCAAGTCTGTGGGGTATTTTTCGGTTAATGATTGGTATAGGAGTGCCTAGGTCACTGTGGGTGGTGCCACCAACCCATAAGAAAGCAAACTGATGGGAATTGTGTTGAATCTGTAGATTGCTTTTGGAGGGCATTTTCACTATGTTAATCCTGCTGAGCCATGAGCACGGGAAATCTTTCCATGTTCTGATAATCTTCAATTTCTTTCTTCAGAGACTTGAAATTTTTTTTCAAACAGGTCTTTCACATGCTTAGTTAGGGTCACACCAAAGTACTTCATGTTATTAGTGGCTACTGTGAAGGGTGTTGTTTCCCTAATTTCTCTCTTAGCCCTTTTGTCTTTCATATACAGGAGGGCTACTGATTTTTTTGAGTTAATTTTGTATCCAGCTGAAGGTGTAGGAGTTCTCTGGTTGAAATGGGAGGGAGATGAGGGATCGGGGCTGGGATTGGGAGGAGGCTACAGTGGGGATACAAAGTAAATAAACAGTAATTTATAAATATATAAATAAAAAAATGAAAAAGCAAACTGAGCAAGCCCTGGGGAGCAAGCAAGGAAACAGCACCCCCTATGGCCTCTGCTTCAGTTCCTGTATCCAGGTTCCTGCTTGAGTTCCAGCCCTGACCCCCCCCCACCACCACCAAGAAATGATGAACTTTAACCTGTAAGCTGAAATAAACCCTTTCCTCACCTGAACTTGCTTTTGGCCATGGTACAATATCACCACAACAGAGACTAACTAGGACATGAACCCTCTGAAAAAAACATTCCTTGATACCACAGTTGCAGAATCCTATACATTTACTTCAAAAAAAAAATCTACTGACTAGAAATCATTTGAAATAAGACAAACATGGCTTGAAATTCTACTATATACTGCTGATGTTACTTTGGGCACCTTATTTAAGTAAAATATTATTTAACATTTTTGCTTGGGGGGAAGATTTTGAGACATGGTTTCTCTGTGTAGCCCTGGTTGTCTGGGAACCAGCTGTGTAGACCAGGCTGGCCTCAAACTCACAGAGATCTGCCTGCCTCTGCCTCCTGAATGCTGAAATCAAAGGTGTGCAACACCACTGCCTACCTGATACTTTCCTTCTTTTCCTTCCTTCCTTCCTTCCTTCCTTCCTTCCTTCCTTCCTTCCTTCCTTTCTTCCTTCCTTCCTTCCTTTTTCATTTTTCAGTTTCTCTATTGGCAAAAATAGAATTACATTGTATTCTCTAGTGGGCTGCTATAAGGATTAAATAAGACAATGCATATAAATATAAAACCAAATAACAGCATTTGGTAAATAATAGTCATAAAATAATTGTTGGTTCTCTTCTTGAAAAACACACACACACACACACACACACACACACAGCCTTTTGTGCATCAGGCATTGTGACTCTTGCCTATAATCCAAGTACTCTAGAAGTGAAGGCCAGAGGATCACAAATTACAGGCTCACCTGGAGTACTTGAAAACATCTCAAATTACAAAAAATATAGATTCATTTATCTATTTTATGAGTATGGGTTTTTCTCTGCATGTCTGTGTATGTATCATGTGTATGCAGTGTTCAAGGAAGCCAGAAGAGTGTAGTAAATCTGCAGGGACAGGAATTAAGATGGCTGTTAGTCCCCTTGTGGGTGCTAGGACTGAAACCCAGATCCTCTGCAATAGAAGCCAATGTTCTTAACTGCTGAGCCATCTCTCCAGCTCCTCAATGGGGAAAAAATTAAAGCTATGTGGTGTAGTGGAAGTTTTGCTTTCTTTAAAAACTCAGTTATGTTATATAAACAGGTTTTTGTTTTAATCCCAATGGGGCTACCTTAGTTTGTCCACAGCTGATAATTTCCTCCTGCTGCTCACCGAGGGGTGTGGTCTTTGCCAGCTGGAGTTAGTGGAATTCTGAGGACTCTGGGAGAGTATAAATACCAGAGCCTAGGGAAAAGAAGGGGCTTCTAGGAGACAGAGGAGGAAGAAGGCTGCTTGTTCGTACTGCTGTGTTTGCCGTTTGCTATTTAGCTGTTCTGCTAGATATCCTGACAACTGAGATTGTTATATTCCCAAAGAACTCAATGACCTTAACCAGCTGAAACTAAGTCTGAAGAGATCTACATTCCCTTTCCTTTCTAACCTTCTTTCTCTCCTACCTAGAGTTGGTGGGTTGGAAGGGAGTAGAATCTTAAGGAACCTAAATAAAATAGTTAAAAGGTAGGGGAAATGGAAAGATGGCTTAATGGTTATCAGTGCATACTGCTCTTGCTGAGCAGTCCATAGCCTTAACCATCTGGAACTCCAGCTCCAGGGGATCTGATAACCACCGAACTACACAGAAACCTGTACTTACACAAATTCTCTCTCCCTCTCCCCCCCCCACTCTCTCTCTCTCACACACACAAACATAGACATGTAAATATACACATAATTAAAAATAAATAAAAAGCCATTTTAAGGAATTTAAATGAAACAAGTTTGAGTTTGCAATTGTGATTGTATTTTCTTTCTTTCTTTCTTTCTTTCTTTCTTTCTTTCTTTCTTTCTTTCTTTCTTTCTTTCTTTCTTTCCTCCCTCCCTCCCTCCCTCCCTTCTTTCCTTTTCTCCTACTCCTCCTTTTCTCTTTTTCGAGATAGGGTTCTCCGTATGTTAGCCTTGGCTGTCCTAGACTCACTTTGTAGACCAGGTTGGCCTTAAACTCACAGAGTTCTGCCTGCCTCTGCTTCCAGAGTGCTGGGATTACAGGCCTGTGCCACCATGGCCGGCCTGTGATCTCTCGCTCTTTTATTTTGTCATTCTTGTTGAAAACATTTTTAACAAAAAAAGAGCTATGCTGTCAAGGTCTGCCCCCAACCCCAATTCCCTTATACCTCAGGCACATTTCATTCACAGCCTGCAGACCTCATGTAGTCACAGAGTTATAAAACATTTTTTGAAATGTTTTGGAGATATGGGCTTAGCATACAGACTTTTGTAGATCAGGCTGACCAAACTCAGACATCTGCCTGCCACTGCCTCCTCCGCGTGCTGGGATTAAGGATGTGTGCCACCACTGCCTGGCTTTTTCTTTTCTTTTGCAACTCAATTACATGGTTCTCTCTTTCTTGTTTTTATTATTAGTTATATTTATTAACTCTGTATCTCAGCTGTATCCTGCTCCCTCATTCTCTCCCAAACCCTCCCTCCCTCCCTCATCTCCTCCCTGCCCCTTTCCAAGTCCACTGATAGGGGAGGACCTCCTCCCCCTTCATCTGACCCTGTTTTATCAGGTATCTTTAGCACTGGCTGCAAAGTCCCCCTCTGTGGCTTAGCAGGACTGCTCCCCCCCTTGGGGGGTGGGGAGGTCAAAGAGCCAGTCATTGAGTTCCTGTCAGAAATAGTCCCTGTTCCCCTTACTATGGGAAAACAATTGGTTACTGAGCTACCACGGGATACATCCGAGCAGAGGTTCTAAGTTATATCCATACGTGGTCCTTGGTGTAGTATCAGTCTCAGAGAAGACCCCTGTGCCCAGATACATTTGGTCTTTGTGGAGCTCCTATCCTTTCCACGTCATACTAACTCCCCCTTCTTTCATATGATTCCCTGCACTGTGCCGAAGGTTTGGTTATGAGTCTTAGTATCTGCTTTGATACACTGCTAGGTAGAGTCTTTCAGAGGCTCTCTGAGGTAGGCTCCTGTCCTGTTAATTGTTTTCTCCTACGTCCAATGCACCTCCCATTTGTCTTTCTAAGTGAGGATTGATCATCTTACCCCAGGTCCTCTTTCTTGTTTATCTTCTCTAGGTGTATAGATTTCATTATGTTTATCATATCTTATAGGACTACATGAGTGAGTATATACCATGTGTGTCTTTCTCCTTCTGGGATACCTCACTCAGAATGATCTTTTCTAGATCCCACAATTTGCCTGCAAATTTCATGATTTCCTCGTTTTTGATTGCTGAGTAGTATTCCATTGTGTAAAAATACCACAATTTCTGTATCCATTCCTGCATTGAGGGACATCTGGGTTGTTTCCAGGTTCCGAACTAAAGAAGTTAAAAAGCAATAAATCAAGCAATCCGATTAAAAAATGGGGTACTGAGCTAAACAGAGAATTCTCTGTAAAGGAATATAGAATGGCAGAGAAACACTTAAAGAGATACTCAGCATCCTTCGCCATCAGGAAGATGCAAATCAAAACGACCCTGAGATTTCACCTAACACCCATCACAAAGGCTAAGATGAATAACTCAAGGGACAACACATGTTGGAGAGGTTGTGGAGAAAGGGGAACCCTTCTCCACAGCTGGTGGGAATGTAAACTGGTACAACCACTCTGGAAATCAATCTGGCGCTTTCTCAGACAACTAGGAAGAGCGTTTCCTCAAGATCCAGCCATACTACTCCTAGGCATATATCCAAAAGAGGCTCAAGTACACAACCAGGACATTTGCTCAGCCATGTTTGTAGCAGCTTTATTTGTAGTTACATGGTTCTCAAGCATGTATTTCATAGGCAGCAAAGGCTGTGTAACACTGTCAAGAGGTTGGGTACACCTGTGTGACAACTATGCTGTATAGCTTCCTCCAGATCCCATTGTTTCTCAACTAAAACTGTTATCTTGACAAATTATCCCATAAAGATTTCAGAGTCTTGTTCAACAAGTGTTAATAAGATACTTACCTCCTCGTTTCATCATGATATTAACAGGGCCACTAACACGACGACACACCAGGTGACTCACACTCGGCGGCCAGAAGGTTCGCTCACTGAATCAGAACCCAATACAGTATATCAATCTCCAAAGGCCTTGAGGTGTTAGGAAGAGGTTAGCTGAAGGAACTTAGTTAAGAAGAATGTGGAATGTGGTGTCTCCAAGAGGTGACATTTTGAAGTTTCTGCACCGGTATACAACTTGCCATCTTTCTGCTCCCTTTGTCCGTGACTAACAACTACAGGAACCAAAGAGCCTCGCACAGCTTCTGTATCTCCCTTCCCCTCTCCATTCCAAACTCTCTGGATCTGCACTATAAGTGAACTCCACCTAAAATTAGTTACCGAATTAAGTACCTGAGCATCGAAGAGAGTGGGCCAGTTCTGTTGCCATAACTTGTATTATCAGTCCAATTCGAAGTCGGAACATTTCAGCAAAGAGGCCAGGCTGAGTCCTCATATACATGGCAAGGTAGACCATTATTTCCTGTATACGCAATAGTTATAGCTCAGGTTTCACAACGTCTATTTTGTTGTCTTTATAAATTGTCAGGTCAATTATAAACAAATATTGAAATATGAATTGCCAGGTTAGGACTTATGATGCTGCCTACCTGTGTAAGGATTGAGATATTCATGTCTCCCTCGCTGGCTTCATCTATGAGCTTGGTGAGTGCCTCATACGGTAGAGGTCTAAGGGAGAAAACAGCAAATTAGGACCAACTTCAACAATAACTTAAGTATGTTTTAAAACTTAAACCTCACTGCAAGTTCAAGCCAGTGCCACAACCCCTCATCACTTCTAGTTATTTCAGAACAAAAAGTTCATTCATTGCCTCTGAGGCCCCTTCTGGCCCCATTAACTTTTAATTTTCACTTAAAACTGACACCTCGATGTCTTTCCAGACTAGTCTTTTATGGTTAGTCTTTAACACATGACAAGTAAGCATAATGGCTACAAAGAAACTAATTTTAAGCCGTGCCCTTGGGGAAGTATTAAATTATTTTATAGTCACCTTTTATAGGATTATAGTGATCTTTTTGATAGTTTCATCAGTTCAGCTACAGTTGTAAACACACACAGGTATATACACGTTGGTATTTGTCACTCTCAGACTCTGTGAGTAGTCTTTTTATTGTGTATTTCTTTTTTTTTCAAGATTTATTTATTTTATGTATATGAATGTTCTATCTGCATTCACACCTACCAGAAGAGGGAATCAGTTCACATTATGGATGGTTGTGAGCCACCGTGTGGTTGCTGGGAATTGAACTCATGACCTTTGGAAGAGCAGACAGTGCTCTTAACCACTGAGCCAACTCTCCAGCCCATATTGTGTATTTCTTGAGGGGGGGGTTGTTTGCTTGTTTTACATAGAATCTTGCTATGTAGCCAGGCTGGCATTAAATTTTTGATCCTCTTGCCATAGGCCTCTGAGTGCTGTAATTACAGGCATACATTACCACAACTGGTCACACTCCATGACTCTCTCTCTCATTGACATAACATAAGATTTTATTTTTAATTGTGTTTACGTCTGTGGCAGGGGAGGCAAGGTGCACCTTAGTGCATAATATGCCCTCAGAGGTCAGAGGTGTTTATACCATTCCCCACCCCCTGGAGCTGGACTTGCAAGGGATTGTGAGCTGTCCCACATGAGTGCTAAGAAACAGACTTAGGTCCGGAAGGAGCAGCATCCTATCTTATGTGCTGAGCCATCTCTTCAGCCTCAATATGGGGTAGCTGGCAAGCATGTGCCCAGGCATGTTCTTTTGGAATGCCTATAGTGACACAAAACTGATCTTATATGTGATACAAGGTTTTGTTTGCTAAAAGTAATGCATTACAGGTTAACTGTGTCCTTCAATATTCATGTGTTGAAATTAAGAACTTTCGTGCCTCAGACTGTGATTTTTTTTTATTATTAGTTACATTTTATTAACTCTGTATCCCAGCTGTATCCCGCTCCCTCATTCCCTCCCAATCCCACCCTCCTTCCCTCATCTCCTCCCTGCCCCTTGCCAAGTCCACTGATAGGGGAGGACCTCCTCCCCCTCCATCTGACCCTGTTTTATCAAATATCTTCAGGACTGGCTGCAAAGGCCCCTTGGTGGCCTAGCAGGACTGCTCCTCCCTTGGGGGGTGGGGAGGTCAAAGAGCCTGCCATTGAGTTCCTGTCAGAAATAGTCCCTGTTCCCCTTACTATGGGAAAACAATTGGTTACTGAGCTACCATGGGCTTCATCCGAGCAGAGGTTCTAGGTTATATCCATACATGGTCCTTGGTTGGATGAACAGTCTCAGAAAAGACCCCTGTGCCCAGATACATTTGGTCCTGGTGGAACTCCTATCCTTTCCACGTCATACTAACTCCCCCTTCTTTCATATGATTCCCTGCACTCTGCCAAAAGTTTGGTTATGAGTCTTAGTATCTGCTTTGATACACTGCTAGGTAGAGTCTTTCAGAGGCTTTCTGCGATAGGCTCCTGTCCTATGTCCAAAGCACATCCCATTTGTCTTTCTAAGTGAGGATTGATCATCTTACCCCATGTCCGCTCTCTTGATAATCTTTTTTAGGTGTATAGGTTTCAGTATGTTTATCCTATCTTATAGGACTATATGAGTGAGTATATACCATGTTTGTCTTTCTCCTTCTGGGATACTTCACTCAGAATGATCTTTTCTAGATCCCACCATTTGCCTGCAAATTTCATGATTTCCTCATTTTTGATTGCTGAGTAGTATTCCATTGTGTAAAAATGCCACAGTTTCTTAATCCATTCCTCCGCTGATGGACATCTGGGTAGTTTCCAGGTTCTGGCTATTATAAACGAAGCTGCTACAAACATGGTTGACCAAATGTCCTTGTGTACGTGAACAAATTTTGGGTATATACCTAGCAGTGGTATATCTGGGTCTTGAGGAGCAGACTGTGATTTTAATGGAAAATATGCTCTTTAGAAGTGATTAAAGTGTAGTTATTAAGATAGTTCCTGATTTAATATGACAGGTGTCCTTATAAGAAGGAGAAGTTTTGGAAAGGGACATGGACAGGATGGAAAAATATGAAGAGACACAGGGGAAAAAAGATCTATCTACAAGCTAAGATGAAGCCTGAACAAGTCCTTGACAGCCTTCAAGGACAAACAAACCAGCACTGCAGACACTGTGAAACTGTTGGAGTCATTGTTGTTGTTTAATCCACCCAGTCTGACATTTTGTCATGGCAGTCCAAGCAAGTTAGCCAAACTATGTTCCTACAGCATAACTAAGACTTTACATATAGAATCTGTGACAAATGGGCCTAGGACACGTCTCTCTAAGCCTCCATCCAGAACTCTAAACTGGATCTCACAGGCATGTGTATGAATTGGGAATACGTTAGTGGACAGATACCACCACAGTATTCCCGACAACTTCACTCAACTTTATCCCTGGTTAAACCCACTAGCTAGGCATGGTGGTGCCTAATACTCAGGAGACTCGGGTATAAGAGGATTGCAAGTTCCAGGAAATCTGGAACACACAGTGATACTGTCTCA